CAGCCGTCATCATTATCAACCCGGCCCGGAATCCAGTGTATATGTTGCGACGACAACCAGACACTGCCCTCCGAATTTGGCTCGACCAGACAGGGTCCAACAGATTCCGAGATAGTTGACTGCCCCAATGTCACTTTGAAGTCTGAACGCGCTCGAGTCCCCGACGTCTTGACTCGAGTGACGCTTCTGTGATGCAATGAAAAGACCCGCTGATATTGAAACTGGCGCCAGCTAGTCGGTAATCGTGAGTCCCCCAAAAACGGATCCCCCCATCCAAAAACATGTCACACCGTCGACGCCGTTGGCGTTGGGGATGGAAGGAAACCACGCTATCTTTGCGGAACCGCAATTGCAAAACTTTATCCCTTGCCCGCATTCCGCGCCGTTCTCGGGCGGGCCCACTTCACTTCAGTCCGGGCTTCGGGTCAGCGGTACCTGTAACTTGTAAGCTGAACACTGTCCTTCGAGGAGTCGAGGCTCAAGGAAGTACGACGTAGCAACAGTCTCGAATGCTCGCGTGCTCAATGCTCGACATCGCAAATATGTGAGTCTGCCTGTTCCGAGTATTTGTCGTGCTGCCCATCGTTGATTGGGCTACTCTCAGCATCTCCAAACAACATTCGGCCCTGTTCGGAAAACGGACTTGTCTCGTCAACTCCAGACAATCCCATTCCAGATGATAAGGGTATTTGTGTAGAACGCCAAAAAATACATTATTTAACGGATAACGGGATCGGATGAATAAACGCATCCTGGCACGTCCGCAAGGCAGGCCGAAACATGAGACAGGCGAAGTTGAGCAAACCACGCCACTTTGTTATTTCGTCCTGACTCTCCTTTCTCGAAGAATTTCTGTTTGAGCGTCCCCTGTGGCATTCACCCAGTCAAAGATCGAATTGCAGAAGAGTGGTGCTCCTTCTCTATCCCTCATTCCGCAATCCCTTCCCCACGCTACACTGTTGGTAATCGCACGTTAGAACGCTGACACCGTGCGCTGATGATGCACGTATCCCTCATCGTAGACATTCGTTGAGCTGCAGGTGCCGCGAACAACAGGAACATCAAACTCGTAGGGGTCGTTGTGTTGTGTTGGGAAATTCTACCCCATAAAGTGTGCCATGGACGACCCGATTGCCGCCCTTCATCGTGATATTTCGTTCATGCAAAAGACCCAGGGCGAAACCCAATCGGCGCAAGCTGCATCCCCGCTGGCAAGTCACCCAGATTCGATTCAATGACAAGGTCCAGGGTCTCTCCCACACGCGCCTGCTGCTCGGCGTGGCATCCCCCGTCGCTCGCTGCTTGTCCAAATACGTGCACCTGCTGTGTTTCTTCCTGCCCTCGTCTTCAAGAGGTTGAGGAGGCGCAGAATGTCACGTCGCGGACGAAATTGAGCAACATTCGCATCCTACTGTAGAGGTCCGTTCCGGACATGGCCCACCTACGTCGATCTCCATTGCACCTAGGTGAGGCCATGAACTCGTCGTCCGCCCGCCAAGTCTGAGCCTCGACGAGCCTCACGCTGCTCGGTGTGATGAGGAGTCTTCGGGGCGTTCCGCGCATGCCGGCGAAGAAACCGGATCACTTCGGCCTTGTTCTCGAAATGCAGATGGGGTCTGTTTGTGGCACGATGGCTGTCAAGTATTGTTGTCAAACTCCATGAGATGGCATCGCCCCCATTATGAGACATGCATCGTGCAGGCAAACGCGGGGCATCCGGATGTTTGGTGCTGCGCTCAACTGCCATTGTACGAGCTCCTGTTCTGCCCCGTGTGAAGGGAAGAGGTGGTGTTTTGATGGGTTTCCGTAGTTTTCGTAGGATAAGACGTCAAAGTAGTAAAGCACTCTAGTTGCGAACAAGCTCAAACTTCATGAATAAGGTCGTCTGCATTGCTCCATGGTCTGGTCTCTGCTGCAGCCGCTCATCGCCATGCTTCGCAACGGCGTACTATGCCCCAGATGGGCACCGCCGCGACTAAGTCTACGCTCGAGGTTGTGACTGCCGAATGGATCGACCCGGCCACCTGGCTTCGCCTGTCACTCCCTCCCTAACTGAAGTCTTCATCTTCATTGGATAACTCGTCTTGAACTAGGTCATTTTGGGCATCTTCCATCAACCCGAGATAAGCCACCACGTTCTCGTCTGCGAGGAGTTGTGTTTTCTGCAAGGTTGGGGCACATCGCCCACCCTTGTTAGCCTGGGCGCCACACGCGGGGGAAGTCTGTAGTTGAGACGGGTCTCCGGGGTAATTGAATTGTAGGAGAAAAATAGAAGAATTGCAGGACTTTGAGAAGCAGAAAGACTGTGGAGTGAAGTGGGCAGAGAATCGTAAGATTTGTCTGCAGCCCTAGCACTGACAGGAAACCGGCGATGAAGAGTAGCAAACCACTTACCTGGTCTTCTAGAGCCTTCGCGGCAGCTTCTAGCAAGCTCGTCTCTTGCTCCCTCAGCGTTGCAGCTGCACTGATGCATGTCCCGCAGACGAGACCACCTTCATTCAGGGACTCGTCCAGGTCCTCCAGAGATACACCGGTGGCCAGTCGCTCAAGCTGGCTGGCCACCAGATCCTCCAAAACGGAAACAACCCGAAGACGAAAGATTTGAGCCAGGGGGTGTTGATCGATGTGTTGCTCGAAAGCCGTTGTCGTCGAGGTCACATCCTCTTCTTGCCAGAATAGTTTTAGCTCCCGTGAACCTCCGGTGTCCTGCAAGACGCGAAATGACAGGCCGTCCTCCTCGTTGAGGCACATGAAGTAGGCAAAGGGGCTCTTCCAGCTGAGTGAGCCATTCGTCCGGACAAACTCCACAGTCGGTGCTCCATCAAAGACGTGCAGCTTCGCCTTGCCCAGCGGGTCGTCTTCCATGGGTATCAAGGGCAGCGTGATCCGGTCGGCGGCTGACGCGGGGTCAATGAACCCATAGCTGAAGAGCATCTCTGCCCCGGATTTCGCGTCTCCGTAGGATATCGTCATCTCGTCCCCAGACGAGACCCTGCAGCCGGGTCGCAGAAGGAGTACTACCTCGTCCTTACCATTCTCCTCGTAGTAGGCATTGGCCTTGGATGAGTGATTTGCCAAGTCTAGCACCGGGACCATGGCCTCCCCTGATTTGGGGAGCTCCAGACATCGGGACCGAAACCACGCATCGACCCGAACCCAGTCAATGAGCGACACCTTGTCGCTTTCCCAAAACAGCTCGTTCCAAAATGGTAGAGTCGCAGAAATCTCTCGGAGCTCGTCAAACTCGTCTGTCAACGCAACAATCTTGGCGGCCGTGGCCGACTACTTCTTGTTAGAACGTTATCCATAAGCAATAGCTGAAGCCTTCGGGACATCGGTTCTATCTCACTCAGCCGCAATACTTGGCTGGCGAAGAAGTAGACCTCCATATGAGAACGATTCCACGAAATTTGGGATGCAATATTGATGTTGTTAAATACGGGGGTTGGACCAAACCTGCGTAACCAACGACAGCCGGTATTTGCTTTTCAGGGAAGGCCGTAGGCAGTGAGAAGGGAGGCTGGAGAATTGCTTGCCTCAAGTGATGTTCCATTCAACATCTCGCGTTCCTGCTCAGTCCAGAGGGTGGTAACAGGAACTTGCGGCGGCAGGTACTTGACGTATTCTGTCCACGGCGTCGAGACTCCGCCCTTCAAAGACGTTTTGGGCCTATCAGAAAGTACCTTCTGTGTGAGAAGAAAGAGGCAAACGTCATGGCGAGTGGACTAAATTAAGAAGATGGGTAATCCTTTAGCTTTCCAAGGTCTGCATCAGGCTCGGGCGAACACTCTACCTTGTGACCGGCAGCCTCGAGCAGCTGCCGAAAGTTCTTATCGACCTTTGCATAGTTCTCAACAGCTTCGGCGGATAACACCAGCTCGCCTGGGATCCTGAGTAAGGTTGGGATGTCAAAGGTCTCTTCCTCTCGACTGAGCTCCTTGTTTGAAAGTAGACCCAACCCGCAGCCGGGGATTTCGCGGGCCTCGACGTCGACGAGGTCTACGTCATTGAACATGGCCCAGGTGGAGAGGGTCTCCAGGGGAAGCTGCGTAGACGCCATGACGAGGCTGTCGGCTTGCTCTCAATGGGATTGAAGATATACTTGCGAACGGGCGGGATGTTGGTCGTTGCACTGCAGTCTCGTGGTTTGTCAGGCAAGTAGCGAGCAAGTGTGGAAAGATTCAAGCGCGAGTCCCGGAGCAAAACGGTTGCTTAAAGCGCAGGGTGGATCGCAATGGCATGTACTGCTACCGAGTAGCGAATACAAGTGCTTGAGGGTTGGAACTGCAAGAAGCCGATGTCTCTCACCAGGAAACAATTCAGCTTTTCTTTTGTAATGTCAGAAAATCATGTTCTGAAACGGCAAGATATCTTTTTGGGCCAAGATTTCAATAGAGGCGCCGCATTGGTAGTTAGAAGCCCAAAGAAGCCTAAAAGACTGGGCCCCATCGCGAAGGCGGGCACGCACTCTACCTACTCGTCTCATGTTCAAGTACCCTAAGGTAAGAACCATCTTCTCGCAGCTCTGCTTGAACTTTCCGATGCAAAAGAAACATGGGCTTTCGACTCAAATACCACAACACTGAAAGACGACGGAGGTCACTGGATGGACATTGGAACTCGGAGGGTGTCAAAGTCCTGTTTTCGTAGGTGGCCTATGTACTGATACTCAGGTAATTGGCCGGAGCATGATTAACAACTGCTAATCATCATGGCGGAACGACCAGACAATCCCGCTCTAAGGTAAGTTCGCAACGTCCTAGGAAGCATGTTTCCCCTATACCATTCCTGACAACTCCGAAATTATGCGTGCAGACCTAGCCGGCTTACGGCGAGATCAAGGTATCATCGATATGAAATAGGATAAGGAAACGAAAAGCAGACCAAACTCCATGCTGAGCATTTCCGGTCCCGTTGTCGCTGTTCACATGGCTCGTTAAGATGAGTAGTAACACAGACTTGCAGCCATCAATCGGCTGCACTGATCATCGTGCTTCAGGTTATCGACCATTTGAGGCGAGATGCTCCTTGAAGAGCTCAGCGGCACGACGAGCATCCCTCCGCTGACTCTCTTCATGTATCTTGCGCATCCAGGCCGCTCCCCGCACCCACTCCTCGTTCCTGCGGACATAGATTGGCAACTCCTCTTCAGGGACATCGCCGAAGTCCATGTGTCTATGGTGGGACCACGGCCGTGGCTCGCCCCTCGCGGAGGCCAAATTGTCTTCCTCTTCCTGGCGCTCTTCTGCCAAGCGCTGCTGTCGCATACGCTTGGCTGCTTTGCCGAAGTTCGCCTTGCGGCCACCTCGGGCTTTAATTTCCTCCATCTTCGACTTGTACCACTGGTCGCTGCGATTATGTGGCCAGTGGATGCGAGGGTCAAGCTTCATATGAAAGCGGCCGTCATCTGCACCAGGTGTCGAGGCTCCTTTCGAGGTCTCTATTGTCGCAGCCAGAGTATACACCCCCAGAGGAGGTCTCGTGGCGCCGGGTTGGCTATATATCATGGCGTCGAACTTGGTGAATTCAAAGTCGGCGCAAAGCTGGAGTCGACGCTCTTCACAGGTCAGTCTCTTCGTTTTGCGGGAAGAACTGGACTTCGAATCCTGTTGGTAGCGATTCTGTGGGTCGGCCCTCCCTAGTGTCGAGCCTTGTCGAAGTGTGCCATTCGGCAAAAGGACGTGATTATGACTCTGCCCGTTGGCAAGTTTTGGCTGCCGTATTCTCCCATCTTTCTCCCGTCTACCATCTTCGTCCTCGTCAGAGGAAGAGCTGAGCACAATAGGCCTAAACACGGCGCCCAGGCGAGTGGTATCCTCATTTCTCGAAGAACGTGAACGTGACGCCTCGAGATTGGCGCCAGGAAGTCCCAAAGAAGATGTGGACTGTGAAGCATTCAAAGTTGCTGGGGCTCCAAGGTAAGTGGACGAATGGGGATGCCCAATGACTACCTTTGCCTGCTCTGGAGCCCTATCATCGATCTCGTCATCATCGTCATCAAGATCTTCATCAGAAGAGCTGAATGACGACGATGACTCGGATGTTGTGTCAGTACTGTCAAGCCTTCTACGCTTGCCGGCCGAAGACGTGAATCTGCTTGTTGAAGCTGATCGTAATGCCGATGGCGCCGATTTCACATGCATTGGCGGCAGACTCTTGGTACTGACGTGAGGCAGCGAATCGAAGCTTCTGTTCCCAGATAGCGTAGATGCCGAAGGTGCAATGGAAGTCCTTCCTCCAAGTTGACTTCTGTTGCTTTCGGCATCCGGCCGAGTGCTCGAATCGCGAGCGGCATGCGACGCATTCTTAGTGCCTGGCATCATCGCGGACACTTGAGATGCTCGAGAGCTTTGACCTGGTCGATATCCCCCTGAAGAAGCCCGTGCCGAGTTGTATCCCCATGTCTTATTTCCCCTTGGTTGCACCTGTTCGACGGTTGCAGACGTCTGCGATATGCGCTGGTTTGTATCGGTACTGCTGGATAATCGCTTCGTCTGGTCTTGTGATGGCGAGTGCACTTGATTAAGAAGTGGCCGAAAAGGATTGAACGTGCCAGGAGGGAGAGTTTCATGGTTAATTGGTGAGACAGACTCAGGAGTGTGAGTTTGCGCAGAAGTAGTGTGGAACCTTGGATGAGTCTCTTCTTCCATGCGCTTCTTAGGAGGAGCTTTTGCCCCAGCTGTCTTTCTAGCTGTCATTGCCAGTTTTCCCATGAGATCGGGCGGCAGATTCGTCCTTCTGACTGTGGCATGGGCGCCCTGGAAAGCGTGTGCTGGTTCGTCTCGAAAATCCCTGCCACGTGAATGGGACTGGCTGCTTCTCGACTGGTCGTCATGACTAACTCGCCCTACGTTCTGCGATGGGTTCTGCACCACTGAGGGCCTTGAAGGCGCGCGTCCAGATGAGCCGGCAGCAAGATGCGCAGCACTGCCTCGAGCAATCCTCCTTTCTGCTTGATGGCGTAGGCAAAGAGTCCCATTGAGAGCACTGGAATCGCATCCGTCTTCGGCACACCGTTTTGTAGACTGCTGACGAAGGGACTCCATCTCCTAGCGGCCTGGTTCTTCATGAAGATATCTCGATTCTATCAACTTGCTGAGATGGGTTTCCACGGACACAGGGTCGGGGTTAGTAGATCCCGAAAGTCTTGTTGCCTAGCCAGACCTGCTCTAAAGGGCGAAAGGCCGTTGCCCAAGTGCTGAAGTCAACGAAGATACGTCGTTAAGATAGGATGTTTGAGTCTCTCGGAAAACCGTTGGCAAAAGTCGAGCTGAGTAGTGCGCCCTAATTCAAATTCGGAACAGCGTGTCGAGCAAGAAGTACACAGCGAGGATGGGTTCCTTTCTCTTCATGGTCTGGGACTTGGAGATTAGGTGGCCAGAGGTGCACGACAGGAGGGTTCTACTGAAGTAAGGTTAGCTTAAAGTTCAACCTGACGTTAGACGGGACCTGGAAGGTCCTTAAAACAAGTTGGAGCCAAATGATGACAGTTGTAGAAATAAAGTGTGCGCTCAGGTCTTTTCAGTTATTTTGGTCTTCATATTGGGGACCGCAGCGGGTTCGTAGTCTCATCTTGAACCATTTTACTTGTCTTCCTGAGCCTTTGGTCCTACTCCGTTTGGGTAACTAGTAGCAGAACTCCAAAATGAGGTCATGTTCATTTCGCTTCTCAATCCTATATTGGTATACTGCATTGTTTAAGCAGCTCCGTCTGTCGCGTATGCTTTTCGCTCGGCGAAAGCCTTGCGAGGATGAGGACGTGGCTCATTCGTCAAGAACGGCCATTGAACGGTAACAAGATGAGACAACAAACCCAGAAGAATCCTTTTCGATCGGACCTTTTACCAGTAGTCATCACTGCGCGTAAGAAATGTGTGTTGGGGGTTGGGGAAGGACATCAAGGCCTTAGAGAAGCAAAATCGCACTTACCCGTTGGAGAATCGCCTGCTCCCTCAGAGTCGCGCCTTCGGCCGCCAGCACACGACACTTTGGCATGGGTTAGGAAGATAAAGAGCTTTGGGACCGGGTTGAAATCGATTGAAAATGATTGAGTCTTGTTGTGAACGCAGAGTTGTGATCAAGTTTCTCTTCGTAGCTGCGCGAATGCTCAGGGTAAACCAAGCTTTTGTCGAGTCGCAAGGCTGGTCGGGTTGCTGAGGCTCTCGCCTCGCGTTGCGTTCAGTGGAGGTTGATGAAGGTCGCTTGCTTGAATTCACTGGAGGGCCTCTGGGTAATCCTTGCCTAGCTTCGTTAACAGACGGAACGACCTTGACGGGGCACCGTCGATTTGCATCCGGGCCCACCCAAAACATCGGCGAACGGATCATTTGTCACCCGTATCACCCCTCCATCCAAAATAGCCTAGCGCGGGGATCTTCAGGCATGAGCTGCTGCCCGTGGTCCCCTGTTCCAGTGTCAACGGTCCACTATCTTGTCGCCAAGTTGCCCGAAGCTCCCTGCCTACCTCAGCACTCGCAGCGCGTGCGTTGCCCCTTCCGCCAAATATACAATTTTGAGACCAGCAGTCGCCGATTGACCAGATCCTGGCTTCCTGAATACGCTCTCGGATTTGGTAGAGCAAGATGAATTTTCTCAAGTCAGCAGTGGCCTCTGCCATTGCACAGGGGCCACCATTCCCTTATAGCTTTGGCGACAAGGTGGACATCGACGAGTCCATATGGACATTGAACAATGGCACCAAGCGAGTATGTCTAGCTACCCGACGACGCAATCGACAGCCCAACATCTAACGCCCCTTGACAGGAAGACGGTTCCAACTGCAGTATTTTCTCCTTTGATGTTGCCGCCAACAAGCCCCGACTACCCCTGGCGAAGAACGCACTGCGAAAGCTGAGGACCTTACGGCACCCAGGCGTCATCAAGGTGTTGGATACCGTGGAGGTAAGGGCGGCTCTTGACTACCTTACACGGAGCTTTGTCTCACAAGACTACGCAGACCGATACATATATCTACATTGCGACCGAGCGAGTGGTGCCTCTACGATGGCATGTGAAGAGAAAGAGCCTCACGCCAGAAACGATAAAATGGGGACTGAGCAGCGTTGCGGTATGTTGGGTTGATAATAGAGTTGGTTGAGTGGGAAGACTAATTTTTCCTAAAGCGCACCATCAAATTTATCAATGATGAGGCTTCATCAATACACGGCAACCTAAGGGTTGGCTCTGTGTACACATCTGAGAGTGGGGAGTGGAAGATGAGCGGGTTTGAGGTTCTGAGCAATGTGAAAGACGACGAAGCAGTGATATACGTAGGTATTCCTCCTTGATCTTGGGCAACACATTTACTGACATCGAGGCTTAGACATACGGCAGCTTGGTCCCAGATTCAGGGCGATATGCGCCACCTGAGCTTGCTCGTGGTGGCTGGGATGCCATCAAGAAGAGCCCGCATTCCGCAGTGGACTCATTTGGTTTCGGATGTATGATATTTGAAGTCTTCAACGGCGACTTCATGGGCTCTGATCAAGCCGGGCAGACGAAGAGCATTCCTCCGACCATGCAACAAAGTTACAAGCGTCTCGTCAACCCAAACCCTAAGGCGCGTGTCAGCGTTGGCCATTTCCTAGAACAAGGACAACGGAGTGGATCTTTCTTTGACAGCCCCTTAATCAAACTGACAGAAGGAATCGAGAATCTGGGTGTGAAGACTGAGAGTGAGAGAGAGGCATTCCTCGAGTAGGTCCTTTGATGTCGAGTCAAGTATGTTAAGCATGTAACTGACCCATACAGTGATCTCGATCAACTGACGGACGATTTCCCTGAAGACTTCTTCAAGATGAAGATTCTCCCGGAGCTCATCAAGTCAGTTGAGTTTGGCGGCGGCGGCCCGAAGGCCTTCAGTGTCGTAATGAAAATTGCAGCCAAGCTTTCAAACGAGGATTTTGACTCAAAGATCACACCCGTCGTAATCCGGCTGTTCGCCAACCCCGATCGAGCGATCCGCGTCTGCCTTCTCGATAGCCTGCCATTGATGATCGATCGGTTAACACAAAAAGTGGTCAACGACAAGATCTTCCCACAGCTCGTCACTGGCTTCACAGACGTGGCGCCAGTTGTCCGAGAACAGACTTTGAAGTCGGTTTTAGTTATCATTGGGAAGTTGTCTGATCGTACCATCAACGGAGAGCTGCTCAAGTACCTCGCCAAGGCCGCCAACGATGAACAGCCGGGCATTCGAACAAACACCACAATTTGTCTGGGAAAGATTGCCAAAAACCTTGGAACATCTTCGAGAGCCAAGGTGCTCATCGCTGCCTTCACCAGGTCCCTGCGTGATCCATTTGTGCATGCCCGAAATGCGTCGCTAATGGCCCTCGGCGTCACAGGAGATTGCTTCTCCGACGAGGATGTGGCTTTGAGGATAATGCCCGCGGTCTGCCCCTTGCTGATTGACAAGGAGAAGGTGATCCGTGACCAGGCGAGCAAGACGATGGACGTTTACCTGAAGCAGGTCAGGAAGGCCGCCTCCAACATGCCAGAAACCGCTCTGCCTCCTCAGGCTGCAGAAGGCGCCGGCGGACCTCGCATGAGCACTCCCCAACCCAACGAGGCCTCGGCAGCATCATGGGCCGGGTGGGCCATCTCCTCTTTCACCAACAAGATTTCGACTGCAAACGGTGAGATGCAAACCTCCAACGGCTCAGGCGCTGCGTCTCCCAAGCCGACTCCATCGCCAGGCCCCGACGCGAAGAGGCCGACCACCTCGTCAGCCTCGGCTCTGCATCGTCAGGCGGTCAAGTCCCCCCCGCCAATGTCGCGAACACCGTCGTCGGTCGTGGCAGACGCCTTTAACCCGGAACCTGCGGACGACGGCGGAGACGCTTGGGGCGATCTTGGAGACGATGACGGTTGGGGAGAGCCAACCACCAACAGCAGCTCGTCGGCTAAGAAGGCAACTACGGCCAGCGCAACTCCATTTGACGACGGTGCAGAGCCAGATTTCGCCGGCTGGCTGGCGGCGCAATCCCAGAAGAAGACCGGAGGAAGCAAGCCGCTGCCAAAGGGCCTCTCGAAGTCAACAACAGCAGCGAAGAAGCCTCTGGTGTCGAAGCCGGCTGCTAAGCCTGTGGTAGCGAAGAAGATCGACATGAAGCCAAAGGACGACGATGACGATGAAGGCTGGGGAGATGGATGGTAGGTGATAATCGCAGCAAGACAAGGCAAAGTTTGCAGCATTTACGGCGTTAAGGGGTGCGGGATACCACGATGTTGCAAGTAATGTTCATGTAGCAGTAAAGCCTGCCAATTGAGAATTTGTAATGCAGACGGCCGCAGCCTCATCTGTGAATGCGATACAAAGGACTGTCCCGGACGCCCCGCCAACCCAATCCCCAAAAGTCATAATGAAGAAAAGTTACAAGCCATGATTGAAGGAAAAGCCTTTTGTAGACCAATGAACCAACCAACGTAGACGTGTCCTCCCTAGTAAAACCCTCCCCAAATCGTTATCTAGCAGACTCGGAGTAGTCGTTGAGGGCGACACAGACGGCGCCTCTGTGGTGACCATTGTACTGGCGAATGATCTGCTGGCTGTGAAGCTCCCACAGCCGGGCATAGTGGTCGGAACAGGCCGTCACCAAATAGGCAGAATCGGCGCTGAACGCGCAGTCCCAGACCCAGCGCTGGTGGCCCGTGAGGGTGGCCTCGAGCGGGAACGGCTTAGGCTCCTGGTCGGGGGCAGGCTCAAGGTCCTTGACCTCCCAGATGCGGGCGGTGTGGTCGGCGCTGCAAGTTGCGAGCTTCTTGACGTCGGGCGAGAGGAGAATGCGCGTGATGTACTCCTTGTGCGCATTGAAGTGAGTTACTGGAAGGAGCTGGGTTCGGTCGTAGGCCTGCAGCAGCTGCCACACGAATACGTTGCCCTAGTTAGTCGTTAGTTCTGGTGTCGCATTCTATGTCTGTAGGCAACCGTGAGAAGCTTACGCCATTATTCGCAGCGCAAAGCAGAGAGCCGTCGCTGGCGACCGTGACGCTTGAGACCGAAACGTCCTCCTCGGGAATCAGCTGGTGGGAGCAGTTGTTCTCGGCAAGGTCCCAGACACGGACGCTGCCCTGGCGATCGCAACTGATGATTTCGCCCTGGTTAGGATGGATCACGACGTCGTTGGCGGGACAGCCGTGGTTGTAGGAGCGCTGGACCTGGCCACTGCGTGTCTCCCAAATCTTGACGGTGCCATCCTCGGAGCTGGTCACCATCCACTTGCCCTCGCAGTGGAAAGCGACGCCGGTGATGTTGCCAGTATGGCCCTCGAAGGTAAGCAGTGGGTTCGGGTTCGTGGACTTGATATCGTAGAGTTTGACCGTGTGGTGGCCTGCGGCGGCGAGGAAGCGCTTGTCGGGAGAGATGCAGAGGCGATTGACCTGGGAGTCTGGGTGCTGGATCGTACGGGAACAAATGCCCGAGAGGGCCTCCCAGAACCTGCATTCGGAGAATGATTGTCAGTCAAAGATTCCCAATTATTCGGCGGTCGGGATCGAGCCTTGAATAGTTTCGTACCTGATTGTGTGGTCGTAACCCGCTTGGACAAGGTTAGTGACCGATTCCAATGCTTTGTCGACCGAGAGAAAGAGGTAAAGGTTCCTCAAGGCTCAAGAGAACTCACCTGTGCAAAGAATCACAGACATGGTGACTGTGATGAAGCCTTCGGCCTCAGTTATCGCATGTTATGATGTATGTGTGTATGAAAGATGTTGGTCGAATATTGAGGAAGGCGCATCCAAAAATCGGGAGTTGTATTTGCGCGCGCAGGATCGCCAGTAGGAGGATGCAGCCCCTCCACGATGTAGTCGGCTGGGTTGGACTCTTGACTGGAGCTTCGGCTCACATTCCTAACAATGCGGCCCCACTACAGGTCCGGGGACACCTGGGGTCTCACCGAGGTGTGGCTGGTGTCGGGATTACTTCGGAATTTGGCACACAGACTACCACTCACCACCACGTAGGAGAAGGCGCGCCTTTGAATAAATGAATGCCCAGCTTCTTTATTTGTACGGTTTAGAATTCAAGAGGCAACTAACTACCTTCCGACATGGCATCCATATGCGTATGGCCTTCCTTCATTTGAAGACTGACCACTCCTTGTCTGACATCTTCTACTGGCCACAACTGTTGTCACTTAATTCTCTATTCTAACTCTCCTAATCTTTTCAAGTGTGACTCCGTCTCTATCGCACGCCTTCCCAAAAAACACTGTTATTCCACACAGCCATGATGTCTCCGTAGGCCTATATCCTGCCCTGGTCAAGGACGAGCACTCGATCAAAAAGCATAGCAGACTCCATGCGATGCGTGACCGCTATCATTGTACTACCCTTCAATGTCTCTTTTACCATCTTCGTAATTCCAACATCCGCTTGGACGCTAAATCCTCCCAGAGTCTCGTCCAGCACACATACCCGTGGTTTCTGAAGTATCATGGACGCTAAGGCAATCAGTTGTGCCCTCCCTGTTCCTTGAGCGACCTGCTCGTCAATAAGCTTGTCGAGTACGAGAGGAGCCTGACTGTGCAGCCCGGTCACCCTGTCCAAATCCGACAGTAGACGACTGATTTCGTCACGAGAATGGCTGGTTTCTGGATCGACAGCCTCTCGGACAGTGCTACTGGGAAATGAGGCGGCATCGTGAGGGACTGCAACGAGATGGGACCGCAAGACATGTAACGGAATGTCCACCATTGGTATGCCATCCAGGGTGACGGTGCCCATCGTGGGATCGAGTAAGCGGAGTAGTAGGGCGACAAGAGTCGATTTACCTCCACCCGTAGGTCCTACAACCGCAACATGGGTATCGCCTGGGATGGTGAAAGATATTTGCTGCAGAGCAGAGGATGTCTCCTGGGATTGTTCTTGACGGTGAGAGACACCCATGTTCCGAACAACTATCTCCCCGGAGTTCGGCCACGATTGCTCGAGAGAAAAGCGGTACCCGAAGGCACGCTTCGTCTCGCCCTCACGAGGCAGACTGGTTGCATAAGCTGCCAGAGGGTCAACTGCGACCACTGACTGAAGGGCGCTCGTAGAGAACCTCATGCCTTGTCGCAGGGATGCCGATAGCACCAACGCTTGACTCATTATCAGGCCAATGATGGAAGGAGATAATGAACCTGAGGCAGTCACTACAAGCATAGCCGTGAGCCCAATAGTGCTGGCCACGATAGCATTAAGTCTCACTTCAAGTCAGCGTAGGTTTGCGGCGGCCAGCAAGCGGATACTGCTCCAAGCGTTCAGTCATTTGACTAGAAGAGACCGAGCCGATATTTCGGTCTTGTAAACAACTTCGATGCCATTCAGCCATCGTACTCAATTGTTTTGGGGCAGCTGGCAGGAACACCAGTATACTTGTGGGAGGCTCAAAGAAGTACTCAAAACCCACCGGGAAACAGCCCAAACGCGAAGAGATTCACACAGCAGAACCACAGCAACGCATCATTGTGGTTTCTGGCAAGAGCCGTTCTGCACTCCAAGCCAACAAGATGAGACTTTTTGAATTCTTCAGGAAGGGGCCTTCTGCGGCGAATGTGTCTTACACCACATATGAACGAAGAAGTCACTTTCCATACCGCTCCGCATGGGCTAGGAACACGACGGAGATGATCAAGCTTCTGCATGATGGCACAATTGATTCATCGCCTCAATTCCGAAATACGTCACAAGCGCCGCACATTGTCTTCGTGTTCTCCGGGCAGGGCGGGAATATCGCTGGTTCGGCCCAGCCGTTATACGACAGCAACAGCGCGTTTCGGGATGCTCTAGACAACTACAACCAACTCAGTGAGTCCCTTAGGTTTCCCGGAGTCTTGCAACACCTTTCCCGAGACAGCGCAAGCTTCTCCGAGTACCGTGCTAGAACAGGTCGCACTTATCGTGTTTGAGCTTGCTGCCAGCAAGATGTGGAAGAGCTGGGGCATTGCGCCCGCGACTGTACTTGGACATAGTCTGGGAGAGTATGCGGCTCTGCACTTATGCGGCGTTCTCTCTGCTGCAGATACTATTTGGCTTGTGGGAAAACGCGCAGGCTTGGTGCAAAAGTCTTGCCAGCCTGATACACACCGGATTCTGGCTGTACTGGCCGAAGAGGAACGGCTCACTCCGTTCCTGGCAGAGTACGCAGTCAAGGTTTCATGCAGAAATTCACGAAGCCAGACTGTAGTTGATGGGCCATTCGACAGTATCTTGCAGTTGCAAAGCCGTCTCAAGGTACATGGCATTAAAAGTGCCTTGGTCAAGACACCATACGCATTCCATACGGGTCAGATGGACGGGATTCTGAAGAATCTGCTCGCTGTTGGTGAACAAGCTTCCTTTGCCAGTCAACCACAGATCAACTTTGTGTCGACGGTGACGGGTTCGCTGATCGATGCTTTCCCGTCCGGGCCCGAGCATGTAGCCAAACACGCCCGCCAATCTGTACTATTTTCCGACGCCATTGAATCTGCGATGACACTCAGCCCTGGTCGAAATACCATATTCCTGACGATTTCACCAACATCGATGTGCAGAGACATGACTGCGTCAAACATCACCACCGGGAAAGAAAGCATGGCCGAGGTTCTCGAAGCTACAAGAACCGGAAGTCAGGCATGCCTTGACGCTATCACCTCCAGCATGACTAGGCTTTACAATTCTGGGGTTGACATTGACTGGAGCCGATACCATGGTTCGATGAAACAGATCGGAAGTCTGCTAGAATTACCAGCCTACAGCTTTGATCTAAAGAATTTCTGGATTCCTCTAGAGCAAAGCCGCCATCTCCCTTCATCATCACCGTCATTATCGTCATCCTCACTCTCAACACAACTGGATACACCTATGTCTGAATGTACACTCAACTTAGAAGACGACATACACACGATCGAGAAACCCATTATCACGAATATCCAAGAAGAGCCGCTAAGAAGTCTCATAATTGGTCATGCAATCCGTAACAAGGCCGTATGCCCTGCAGGCGTACTGGTTGACATGGCCTTCGCTGTTGTGCTAGAAAGGATCGGCAAACGGGTGGGCCTCGAGTCTATCGGGCTGAGATCACTACGCCTGATCGCGGCTAACACGATAGACACTGATACTGTCAACGATTCCATCCAGACTCTTGAAACAACATTGCAAAAACGGACTGTAGCCCCAGAATTCGATGTCACTTTCAGCGGTGTCGAGCGTCAGACTCATCACGCAAGTTGCATCCTGCGAGTGATGGAAGACGCCAATGGTATAAGAGGCGAGCACACGACTCGCACACTCATCCGGGCCGTCTCTCGTATCAATCTGCTACGAAGCAACACCGCTTCCAACTACTTCAATGGGCGGATGATCTACAATATGTGGACGTCCGTTATGCAATACTCTTCAGAGTATCATGTTCTCCGGAACCTCACACTAGCACCCCTCGGTTATGAAGCCTGCGCGAAGCTTCAAACAACATCAACGGCGGGGCCCGCAAACCGAGAGTACACGATCGACCCGGTCTGGCTGGATGGTGCCATGCAGGCCGCTGGATTCACAGTGAACATGAATGTGGCTGCTGATCCCGGAGCGGTGTACGTTCTCACCGGATGTGCGGCCATCGACTTCTGGGAGCGTCCGCGAAGCAACAACATGTACGCTTGTTACGTCCACGGCGAAGCAGACGTGTTAGGCGATGTCATCATGAACGTTGCAATATTTGATGAGGAGAACGACATGGGCCCGGTGGCAGCTATTAGTGGCATGCGCTTCCACAAACTGAAGCAACGACCGGAAACCAAAAGCAAAAGTGGTAAAGGCTACGAGGACGCCACGGTACGAATGAACGGGGGTGAGTCCAGCAATCAGGTCATCTCGCCTACGAATAAGTTGTCAAATCCAACTCCCTTTTCTCCGTCAAAGAGTGTGAGACTCGATGAAAACAATGCAGTCGCCGATTCAGGCCCAGCGAGCTTGATTCATACACTCATCTCAATACTGGCCAAAGAGACGCATGCAGACCCCGATGAGATTGGCCAAGACACCGCACTAGCCGACGTGGGTGTCGATTCCTTGATGGCCCCTACCATATCAGATACCATTCGCGTCAAGTTAGGCGTTGAGATTCCATTGATAGCTCTAATAGAAGCTCAAACTGTCAGCGACATTGCCTCGCTTTGCGCGGATATCAATTCCGCAAACGTCGAACCCAGGCTAGGTAAAGATGCTGCTGAGAAGTCCAGTATCTCACTAAGGAGCATCGCCCGGGTATCAGACGCAACAACTCGCGCTACGAGTGCTGAACTTTCGAGTAGAGTTGCTCTCTTGCAAGGTTCCAGTCAATGCAAACAAAATTTATTCCTCCTTCCCGACGCCTCCGGAAGCAGCTCCGTGTACGCAGGGCTTCCGCCGAACCTATCCCAACAGACCGACACGGGAATCTATGGTCTTGAGTCGCCATTCCACGGCACGAGTTCCATACCCGATCTCGAAATGGATAGGTACTGTTCACTATTCGTCGAGGCAATTCTTCGGATCCAACCAACGGGTCCGTATCTCCTCGGTGGCTGGTCGATTGGAGGGCGCCTTGCATACGAATGCGCAAGACAGATCATACAACTGGGACATGAAGTTTCGGGACTTCTCGTGATAGAGTCTTACGCAGAGATGACGCCCAATCTCTGCTTGAGTCCTGAGGCGATCTCAGTTGAGCATCTCGAGGCGACAGGGTTCATTGGATGGTCTGGAGGTCATGCTTCGTCAAGCATGGCTGAGTGGCAGAAGAACCACATGCTATATCTCATCCTCATGAACAGCGCCTTCAAACTTGAACCCCTTTACGAGGACAAGAAGGAGAACACTGCGATGTTGCATTTAGTCTGTTCGTCAAACAGCGACTTTTCGCTGTTCCCAGCTAAAGTTTTGCAAAAAGCGCTGGAATTGAGCAACAGATCGTCTGGCAATGCCATAAACGGTGATCATGAAGAATGGCAAGAATTAGCAGGGCCACGTTTGAGGCAGCACGTCGTTCAGGGAGGACACTTTGACATCATGATCCCAAGAGTGAATGAGGATCTAGCACATGTCATCGCAGAGGCATTGAGATGTTTCTGCGAGTCCTCGGTACAGGAAGTGAGAGGATAAAAAATTGGTTCTTTCTAAGCAGCTCAAAAATTCATAGACTTAGATACATAGCTTTTGTTCACTTCACGGAAAATTTGGGTTAGCAATTATCATTATCTTGAAGATACACTCTGTCTTCCGGAGTTTTTGTTACTCTCTCAGTCTTCACTTTGAATGGCGTATTTGCTGAAAAAAGTCAATAACGGAGCGAGAGAGGAGGACCAGGGGAGTAGGGGCGTGGATTACCCTCGAGACACACCCTCATCCAGATCTCCTACCCGGAATCCTGGATGAGCAATTACGAGTCAGCTCAATCTGTGCCAAGTTAGGTTTATCCCCCTTGCTATAATAGAAACCTAGTCCGCGAGCCCCGGTACATGACACCTGCGCTCACTTATAAAGACTCACGAGTGAGAAGCAAAACCTCGGCTGAGATGAGAAGCTTTCAAGAGATACTGCGGAAACGGAAATATGGCAAACGGGAGTGAATACACAAGAGACTCGTCATTATCGAAAATGGAAACTTCAGAAAAGCCTCGTCTCATTGACTCCGTCACCAACACGAGAACGCGCCCGATGAAGCTACTGTTGCTCGGACGGCCACGGAATGTAAGTCATCCCATTCAAAAACACGTTCATCCCATATCGTAACACCCTCAACTTCCACAAACTGAAGCCATGCTATTTTACTAACTCAATCCGACAGCACTAAACAGCGCCCTCGAGCAACTCGGCTTCAAAGTCTTCTCCTTCCAAGCAATGTGGCCAACCTGGCAAGAGTCAATCCTACTCTGGACGGAAGCCATCGAAGCAAAGTACCACAACCGCTGCAAACCCTACGGCCGCGCGGAATTCGACAAGCTCCTGGGCGACTACGACGTCGTGAAATGCCCGCACGCCCTCCTCTTCGCCGAGGACCTCGCCGCCGCCTACCCGGAAGCCCGCATCATCGTCTCCAAGCGCGACTACGAACCATGGCGCGCCTCCATGGAGAAGACGGTCTTCAAGCTGCGCCGCTCCCTCGTTTTCCGTCTGCTGCACCCGCTCGACCCCTTTCGCGCCGCGTGGTGGCCGTTCTTGCGGCTCATCATGGACACGGCGTACGGCGGGTGGGCCGAGGCGGTACCCGGGCGTAGACCCTATGACGAGCACCACGCTCGTGTCGAAGCCATCACGCGCGAGACGCCGGAGAGGATGCTCGTCTTCTCCGGGCCCAAGGATGGGTGGGTACCGCTGTGTGACTTTCTCGGCTTGCCGGTGCCGGAAACGCCCTATCCGTGGACGAACTCGGGAGCAGACTTTTTCGAGAAGCAGGGTCACCGCGCGGGCGAGAGGCTGTTGCTGCGCAAACTGGCTGAGAGAGTGGCGGTCGTTGCAGGGGTTGGACTAAGCGTGTATTGGTTCCTGCGACGCTCATAGACTTCAGAAGTTGGATGCCAGCTTTGCTCTCGTCCTCATCTCACGCGGCTACTGATTCATTTCCACTTATCTGTTCTCGCGCCGTGACTTATTCTCAGCACCCGAGCCGGGTTCCCGTCTTGGTACGTAGTACCCGAGAAGCCGACGTCTATTCTAGCGGGACTGTGACTGGATGACCTCGGGACCCTGAGTAGCTCCAAGGTCTTCCGTTCAGTTTCTTCAAAGCCAAGATGAGTCGATCTTCTCAAACGGTGAAACAGTCGTACTTGATGAATGAACCACGTGGTAGCGCATCATTCGAAACATGATTATCTCATCGCGGTCTTCTACATCTGTGAGATGGCGACTTCGATTCCGAGATACACAGCTTAGGGTAGACTCGGACCTCCAGAATGCCAATGATACTGCCTCAATGTTTTGCAGATCCAGTCGGAGTATCAGATGGAACCAAAGGAGCGGTAATACGTCAGTGCCAATCAGGCGCGAGACCAACGAATCTGTACGACTCGGGACTCTCTTGGAGTGGCGACTATTGTCACTTGCTTTCTACTCGGCCGCAGTTACGGCTTCAGATGTGACCATCACTGTGGCTATGCCCATGATTGGTTTACCATAGCCATCTTCGTCCATCCTATCAGAACTGCTTGTCAACTTGGTGCTGTGCCCCCTACCTGTAACATGGTATTTGGCTGGCTCAGGGCTCCCGGATGAGGGCGTTCCTGGCATACTGTGCTCTCTCACCTGCTGTAGCTGGCACCTGGCTTACTTGCCGTTTTCGCAGGATAGACGAAAGATACGCTCTCCTGCTACAGCCTAGGAAATACCTGGTGACGAGTCTAGAAGTCGCACACATTCTTACGCCCACTTGCCCAAGCATAGCCACGTTAGCTGGACAGAAAGACGAGCAGGGGCTAGCGACACACTTATCAATAGTGTTGGTTGCACGGGTACTTTTTCTCGTGACGCACGGCAGTGAGTAAGAAGTGAACGGGCATGGGTATGAGATTTCCCATAAGGCTACATCGACGGTGACAGTGCACTGCCGACGTTTCTGTGCAGTTGACAGCCGAAAAGTGTATGAGTCCATGGGTTGAGGTTGAGACATGCTCTGTATTGTCTCGCCGCTTGGATGATCCGGTCCTATCACGTCTTCACATCCCGTAGGCTGGACCGAGTCATGCTGTAAATATATTGGAGGCGCGCAGATGCGTAGCGGGAGAGAGTTGTTGGTTGTCTCGTTCGCAATAAGACAGTGTCGAGGGGCTCGGAGAAAAGGGACTTTTCCTTTCCTTTTCCGTTTTCTTGACTTTGAGACTTGCAGGAGGCTTCGCAATTGAAGCTCGATCCAGACCTAGATTTTGCGGATTTACACTATCTATCACCTCTTTGTCTCTCAACCATATCTCTGCCATGATCTTGTTCTCTGCGTCTGTCTCCTCTATTGAATGGGGGCCAAGAGCCAAAAGGACCGCGGTGACTGGGATCCTGTTGGTTCTTCCGCTCACCGAGATAAGATGTTTGCCTGCAGTGAGCGACGCCACCACGGGTAAGGACTGAGAATGTGAGAGGGGTCTTTGGAAAGAGGCCTGTTGGAAAACATCGTGAGTCCCGAGGCGCCGCGAATCGTCTCCAGGAGGGGAGGAGCAGGGAGAAAACGAAAGGTAGAACGGCGGGGTAACCACTCGGCAAGAGTGATATGTGCATGGTAATCTCCATTCGTAATTTGGATCCTCAAGATAAAGAAGAATCGTCATAGACATGCATAGTGACCATCTGAAGACGCGCCCTGCGATGTAACGGGAGAAAGGAGAAATCAACAACATGCAGCTTTCCTGGCGCAGATTTGGCCGCGACAACTTTCACCATAATCGTCGTCGATTACAAGGCTACCTACCCTTCGGCATTCGAGTTTTGGACGAGCCGTCACAGAGAGTACAAGGAGGTCAGATGATCCTTTTTGGGGATCGCGTCCGACGCTGCTGGTCGAGGGAAAGGATGGGTGGCACGAGCAGGGAATCGGCCGAGGATATGAACGGATGGGACGGAAACACCGGGTCTTGTCTAGGAAGGCAAGCATTCTGCTGTAGTTTTTCGGCGCTTGTAATTCTTCAGCGCTCGTTCCTTGATGATCGCTTTTGTCGCTCTGCGGTGCTTCATGTACTACTATGGTTCGAAGTGCTGTATCTGTCATCGAGACCTCTACGACTCCATATATAGTGGGTGAAGCATTATGCCGGGGCGGATGGGTTAGAGCACCCGAAACCAGAAAGATTCGATTACGGGATGCCAACATTGTGAGTCTAGGTTCTTTGTTGTGTGATGGCGTTCCGCAGGCAGACCACTCTGTCCTGAAGAACTCGAGTTAGGCAGACTTAAGCTCGGATATAATGGGAGAAAGCAATGCGGGAGTATGCGTGTGTCGTGGCCAACATGTGGTTGTCATGGCTTTCGTCGGGCATGGGCCGTGCCGCAGGGTGTCGCTTGACGATACAACGAGACAAGTGATGAGAGGAGGACTATCCAAATAGATTCGGTGATTTGAAAGGTGCCACGGGAATCCTGAATGCTTGGTCTGACGATGAAGCCGTCATTTGGTCGTACTATCAGGGGCGAGTAGAGAATTTGGAGACACCAAAGGAAACGGTATCTCTCAAACGCACGATAGCCCGCGCAGCGTGGACAGGCTGCATCGAACACTGCCTGGTTCTTCTCCCCTCTGCTTGAAGGTCTAATGGAAACCTCCGCATTGCATGGGTCTGTATTTCTGCAGCTTTCCAAGGCTCCCTCGAGGTGCTGGTGTGCGTCTGTGTGGGAGGATTGACAAGGGTCGACACGGGTAACCGCAGTTGTCGGTCGAGACTGGAGACGTGATCGCAGGGACAGCTGGCAGCCCGGGAGGAATCAGATCAGAGTCCGAGGCAGGTGAAGCCGAATGGAGAAAGAGGCGCGCATATTGTCATTCGAGAACGATGATTCGGGCTTTATCTCAAAAACGATAATCTGGAGATCGTCTTCAGCCGGACGTAACTGAAGGAGAGATCGTGGAGCAGCAAGATCGGTTCGGGGCTCGACGCAAGCAACGCAGGCGCCGGGGAGCACATGAGGCTGCTCATACCACGGCATCGGTGAGGGTTGTAGTTACAGGATATGTAAGCCCTGTATTTCTTTGCGGCTGACGTCAATATCAGATCCAACACTTTGCCGAGACAGCCTGCCCCTCCAAAGACGGCTCGAAGAATATGCATGCCTACTTACCCAAAAGGGAGAGAGAACAAGGCGACATATGAAGTATCACCCACCACTGTCTCCTTATTCGTTAGTCCGCGGGATGAAACGAGGCAACCACGAAAGAAGAAGGAGAGCAAGGCATGGGTCACAAGACTCGGCCAGCTGTCCTCTCTGGTGATGTCTTGGCCGGCGTTGAGGGCCCGGGAGAAGATAATGCTCTCCAGACCGGCTGCTGGTTAAAGGCGGTGAGGCAAACCGACACACAAGAAGGATCAGATGTTGGAGGGTCTACGTGAGTGCGATGACTTCCATGGTGTTGAGGGGAGGTAGGTCCTTCAAGTGTCGTGATGGAGAAAAGTATAAATCTGCGCAACTCCCTCCTTCACCATGCTTTCTTTCCTTTTGTCTCTCGAACACCCTGCGACGCACTCTCCTCTATCTCACGATCTTCATCCAGAGCAAAGCACCCATCAAATCTGGGAACGGCACCTAAGCTCTTCTTTTATTAGCAACGTTGTTATATCTTATTGAATCACTATGAACCGTGGGAACACGACCTCATCATCTGCCATGGCGAGTAATGAGAATGAAACTTGCGGCTGCATCGATGATGGCTACTCCGGCAGGTGGGACTTCAGAACTTGCACTCATTGCGGTGGGCACGAAAGGTGAGGCAATCCCCAATCCAGAGTCTGCTGGACTCTACGTTGACGCTTGTTACGCAGAAATCCATGCAAAACCTGCGACTCCCGAGGTGTAGTCAGAGTCCCCTGCCCTCATGGGGCTGCTGGTCAAGCTCAAGCTCTGAGTTCTCGGCCAAGAGCCGATGATCAGAACAACAAACCGGGACCCAAGGGACCGACGGGACCGACAGGCCCGGGTCAAGGTGTTGCCGGTGCCGGCTGCCACTAAACCACGGCAGCCGACGCCATCATTTGGTTTCCGAACAACCAGATAAACTCCATACATATCTAATAGAACTTTCATCTTTTCTTGAGGTTTAGTCTGGTTTGGAATTGGGCTTCGTATAGGTATAAGGTACAGGGCGTTGGTGTTATGCGCGGACGGCTCATCCCAGTTCCACTGCGTTAAGTACAGCGTTCGTCGGGAATCTAGGCAACAAATAGCACGCCAGTCCAGTAGGAGTCTGAAATCTTCATATTTGAGATCGGATAAAGTGATAGAAGAAACTTGGAAGGAAATACGACTCTTGTTTCGATGCTGCTTATATCCTTGATGAATATCGAGTGTCTCTTGACGGGGTCACTTACTCTCGCTTTCCGAGCTGCCGCAGGTAAACGACGACATGGACGGAACAGTTGGTGCCAAAACAAATCTATACTGGCAGCAGCAAATGCCGAATCCTTTCCCTACTTGTGTCCCCTTCGCTTATCCGGAGGGACGGAACCACTCAAGTACGTCCTTCGTGACTGCAAGGACGACCGACGGGAAACACAGAGAGAGTATCCGCTCAACCCTACGAGGTAGCGTGGCATGAGCCGGTTCGTGTACCGCCGCGGAAGACAACCCGGTCATTGCTACTGGAGCGATATCGAAAGGGCCGTGATCACGCGAAAGGAGCCGGCCTCGACACACACGATACCATACAGCCATCGGCTACGTTACAGACAAGTAAGCGCCTTGAATGGAAATCGTACCACCCTCCCTTCTCTCCCTCTAGGAACCTATGAAGTATATCCGCGGGTCGGACAGACTTATAGCGGAGTTCGAGGCCTTTTCTTCCAGATACTCGTGAAAGAACCAAGTATGTATACGTACTCTGAGAACTAGGCTTGAGTTGTACAACAGCAATAGCATAACCTGACACGAAGGTGACGCCTTCAGTGTATTTAGGCTACGCTACTGTGAACCCCACAGGCTCACTGAGAAAGGGTCATTGCACAGTTATTGGTTGTGGGTGGACCATTCGCAACCTAGATCACTTATCGGGAAGAGTTCCACATAGTTATTGTAAGAGATATTCAAGACTGATACTAAGACGAGTAAGATGACACCCGTAAAAGTCCAGCCAGGCATAGAATGAGGATATACCATATATCTGCACAGGTGTGCCGTATACTAGACGACGCCCTTGCTTCCGCGATCTCACCAAACTTCAAGCAGCCTCTGAAGAAAAAAGAAAAAACGGAACAGTTCAGCTCCAATCTGCCGGGTGAGTTGCTCATGGGGTTCGTCAAACCTAGAACATGACGAATACCCAGGGGCTCTGTGGCCTTCCGGCAATGGTTTGTTTCATTCATCTCTTTAATCACGTATTCCGTATCGGCGTGAGGTGTCATCAGAAGCTTGGAATCGCAAAGGACAAAGCCGTTGCCTAAGCATTGACTGCCACGGACTAAAACGATAACTATCGTGATAAAGAGCCATGATAGAAATAGAGAAGCGAATACCTAGCAGCCTAGTAATGTCATAACCCTCCAGGTAAGAAAACCCGCCCCACCAGTCCTGATCGAGTTGTCCTCCCCGGCCGCCCTCTCAACCGAAGCATCATCAAATTTGAATCGTTCCGTCCCATCACTTCCTTATTCTCAAATCCAGATCCCGCAAGCTCTCAACGCCGCGACTAACAGTCAGTCGGGTAGACCCAAATGGTCGAGCCCGTTCCGATCCAGTTCCCTCTCAAGAAATCAAACCAAGCCTTAAGTCGAAGATGAAGATGAAGAGCGCCTAAATTAAGTCGTCAAAGAGCAGGGGCGGTTGCAGCAAGTGCTGTTACGACACCTGCCGCAGTCAACACGCCGCCACCAACGAAGTACCCAGCCTTGCTCAAAAAGCTTCGCAGACGCTTAGGGGGAGGGGGTGCTTCTGGTGTCGGCTCTGTAACCACAGAAACAACTATGGGCTGTTCGGCCGTTATTTGCGCCCCGGTTTCAGCGCTTTTCACAGCCGCCTCGATCGTCTCCTCATGAGGCGTGAGCGTTGAGATTTCACTAGCCTTACGCTTTGGAGTAGCCTTCTCCCCGGTAGGGATATTCAGTGAAGTATCCTCAGTCTGTGCCAGTGAGCCCAACTTGCTTTGCTGGAACTGATATGCACTGGTCATATCAAGCTCGGGAGTTTCCGTTGCGTATGTAAGAGGGAAGTCTTGAGGACTGTTGAGGAATTTCTCCCCAGAACTAGACCAGGCCGACTCGGCCACTTTGGCCGACTTGGGCGTTTCATTTACCGGCTCCGGCGCGGTGGCTGCATCGGAGGTAATGTGGTGCCCGAGCTTTGACGTAGATGGCTCAGTGGAAGTCGCAGGCGGCTCGGGAACCTGGCTGCGAGGTTGGACTGGGGTTGTATCGTTATCTTGCTCATTGCGGCGCAAGATTTGCTTATTGACCTCCCTGGCTGCGAAAAACTCCGGCTTTCCAGTAGCTTGGCCAAGGGCTTCAGCTGATGGCCCATCGTCCTGGGAGAACGCTAGAGACTCCGTGGCAGTGACAACCTTGGGAGTATTTGGGACCCGATCCCATGAAGCACGAAGTGGTGCTACTCCTTCGCTTTGAAGAAGGTAATCCGTCGGTGCAGACGTGTGCATTTGCTCGGGGTTCATCTCAGCTAGGAAGGGATTCTCAACGTGATCATCCGAAGGGTTCAATATCGACGGCAGTCTGAGGTCGTTCTGACGTCCTTGTTCTTGCAAACCTACATAAGGTATAATAGAAGGGAGTGACGGCATAGGCGCGGGGAAGAAATGGCGACCAGCATCTGGCTGAGGGAAGTAGCTTGCGTGCGGAATGCTGAGCATTTGTTGCGATTGCGTAAAGGTAAGAGAAGGATCCTGGGCTTCCCAAGCGGCTGCCATGTCCTTAGCCTCGTCATAGCTTGGAGCTCTTGTCAGGTTCTCATCTTCGCTCTCGCTCTCAAAGACGCTGTCGGCTTCAGCGTCGTCACTGTGCTCGGAAGTCTCGGAGTCGCTGAGGCAGATGTCATCGTCGTAAGCGTCGGGCATTTCCTGGCTCGAAGGTTCATCATCGGGATAGCTTTCGGACTCGTCGTCATCGTAAGAATCCTCTGATTCTGACTCCGATGCGAATACCAGAGGGAGTTTCGAGTTCATTCTATGGCTGGAGGGCATATCCTCGTCTTCCTCTTCGTCGTACGGAGCATCCAGCTCAATCGTCACCTCCTGATCTTGCGTGGCGTTGGGAGCGCGTTCGGAGGGCTTATCTGTATCCTTCTGGATATCTTCGTCGATGACAATTGGCTCCACCCCCGGAGGAATGAAGCTGGGAAAGGAACCAGCCAAGCCTGTGGTCGATTTGGGCATCTCGATCTTGCGAATCTTCTCGACGGTGGCACGGATATCGTCCGTAGTAGACATGTCTTCGTCGCTACTCTCTGAGTCGGAATCATCGGGGACGGAAAAGGTTGGGCGACCACTGAGCTCTGAAGCTTTGGCTTTGGCTAGGTGGTCGAATTCCCAGTCCACCTGGATCGTACACGGGGGAAAGAGGTCGTTGGACCGTTGAATGTCAATCCCAAACTTGACTATGTCGCCCCTTGCCAGCTCTTTCGCTGTATGCGGAGACAGCTTTAGAGAGTTATGGTAGGTTCCGTGCAGCGAGCCGACGTCTTTGACGAATAGTTTCTAGTCGTTGTGTTAGCAGTCAGCGTAAATATGTTTCAAGCAGAGGGCATACCTTGTGATACCAGTCGACGGTGATTTTCGCATGCTCCCGGGACATCACCGGGCTATCGAAGTAGCAGTTATCCGCTCTTGCTTCCAAGTTGGAAAATCGCTTGCTTGTCCGGCCGATGTTCACAACGCTTGGGTGCTTCTGTTCGAGGATAACCCGTCGCTCCGGGAAGTGAAACTCGGGGTTTGGATATTGGACGGAGACGGTGAGCAGAACTAGACCATGATTTTGTTAGGACTGATCATTCGGAGGGGGAAGCGAAATGGGAGTGTCGAGCTTACCGTCCTCCGCTTGAGGCTTCACGCCCGTCGCCATCTTGTCAATGTCTTCTCGACTGTATCCGTGATCTGGCGAGAGTGGGTTAAAGAAGAGAACGAGGGCGATGAGGAGCTCCCGAGAGCGATGGTAATTGTGATGGAGGATGGAAGTTTGTCTGGGGTGCCCACGGTCTTGCTGTGAAGGAGGGAGAAGTGACTAAAGTAAAGCCTCTCCTTCGCGGGCTGAAGTTAATGAGCGGGCATGGAGTAGGCGGGAGGGAGACAGAAAGGTAAGGCAGGAGGAACGAGACAGTGTAAGTTGGAAGTCGAGGTCGCCGAGGTGGACGAAGTGGGGCAGGAATCCGGAGCAGGCACCGTGTTGTCACTGTTCGGTATCAGGCAGTCGCGGCAGTGCAGGCAGCGATAACGCCTTATCGCACTCGGCTTGGTGCGCGGAAGGGGCAGGTTGCAGGGGGAATATCGGGGTCTTGGGCAAGTGCAGTGGGGAAAGGCGTCTGGTAGTGAGGTGGGTTGGTGGGGTTATCAGCAGCGAGGTTGTGAGGTCCGAACAGTCCCGGCACGTCCACTTACCTCGATAGCGGTAAGTGTGGAAGTGTGGAAGTGTAGTGTCGAAGCTGATAAGGATGGAGAGCAGGTAAGGTAGGTGGAGGGTAGGTAAGTAAGAGTGATTGAGGTAAAGAAGAGTGAAGCTGGGAAGTGAGAAAGAGCACAAGGTCTGCCTGCGAACCATGAAATCGATGGCTCGAGTTCCGGTCGTTCCAAACGAAAGGAAGGTAAGACCACCTCCTCAGTTGTTCCTTCCCGGGCTGCCTTCGAACGTACTGGGCAGCATAAGGTATGGTAAGGTAAGACCGATGATTCGTACCTTGGTGAACCTGACTGTGAGTTGCGTTGCCTCGAATGGTCCGCCAGAGATGCACAGTGCGTGTCTGAGATCAGGCTCGGGGCGTTCCAATTTAGTGATGACGGGATTAGGAAAGAGGGGCACACCTTAGACCTCACCACATGGCACCTGACAGCTGGAATGTGAAGGAGGCCAGCGGGGTCAACAGATGTACCTTCCCGCTGCCTTGCCTCAAATTCTCGAGATACCTCAGAGCTCAGAAAGGCATAAAACGCATCACAGTCAGCATGACTGTCAGATAGGTCGGACTTGGCCTCTGTATAATCTAGGGCAGCCATAGATAGTCTCACGGCGATAGACTGCACGGCATAGAGCGGTCCTAACGGCCAAGGATAAAGTAGTTTGTCAAGGTTGTACCAACCAATATTGAGGAAAGCCCGCTCTGGTGTGGTGTAAGTAGCTATTCACGCTTGTGACTCTCATGGCTTTCTCATCAACCTGGTCGAACACCTAAGTTGAGAAAAGCCATCTCAGCCTCTGTCACTCTGGTAAATTACCTACCTATCCTCAAACCCGGGCCAGCTCCTACCGTCCACGTCGCCGAGCCTAATCTGCGCAAGTGCGCGCTCTCTAATTTTGCTTTGCAGAATTCCCAAGGTATCTGCCTACCTTATCCGTACCTACCTCACGCTCACCCTTGCATATCTTTTGGCCTAAGGAAGCACCTGACAGACCTCAAGGTGCCAACCCGGTGATTGAACACGCCAACACACAGGTACCTCCCTTCTTGGGATTATTCTGTAATTATGACTATCATACTACGCTTTTCAAAGAGTATTTTCTCATCAACATATAAATGATGATAACAAAGAATAGTGAAAGTACCTTGGCAGCAGTAGTATTGAGCGACAGACGATGTGCCTTACTCCACGTCTGCTCGAGGCGGACGATACAGTCGTGCTTCGGCTGAGGCCTACTGGTCGTGTACCTCACGCATGACAATAGGTATCTTTGTCCTGCCTTATCGACATAATGTTGACCTAGGGGCAGATCGGGTTGCATCTGCTCATCTGTCACCGGGTGGCCTGAGTTGTCGCAAACTGTCACTGGTCCCCTTCATGCCCATCGCTAACAAAAGCCATAGGGACGAGTTGAGATCCAGACGGATCTGGTTAGGCGGCGGGTGAGAGACCAGGGATTCACTGGCGCCGCCCGTGAATGTCTAGACTTAGAAACGGTCAGATGATGCCGGCTGGGTTCACTTCACCTCGCCTGTATGCGTATCCGTTTCCCATCCATCTCACAATCCCGAATGGCCCCATGTTCTCCCCATACGCAGTAACTCCCTACCTAAGGCAAGCAACAAGCTACATCACAGTCATCCATGGCTTTCTTTCTCCCTCGAATGCGGAACACTGCGGTTCAACGGGCAGAAGTTCAACAGTGAGTGGAGGACCACACTCCGTCCGCAACCACGTAACCAGAAGGACGGGGGATGATCTGCTTACAGGGGTACCTCCCAGGAATGCGCGAGCGGACAGACCACGCCCACTTTGCCCCCACAGGAAGACATCATCCTGGAGTCCTTGACCTCGAGCGTGTGGAGTGACAAAAGTTGACTGATGTATCCTTACGCAGTACGCATGAATACGCAGTATGTCAGAAATGGAGGGGCAAAATGCGCCTGATGTCTGGATTTTTGTTTGCCGGATGTTTTGCTGCCGCCGCCGCCGTTCCTGTCCATCCTGCTGCTTTGTCCCCGAGCTCAACCTTGCATCCAGCTGCGTGTCTCGCCCTACACACGATTGAAAAGTCTCTTTCGTCATTCGTCATCCACAACGCTCGCTCGCTCTTTTTCTGCGATCCCTGTGCGACACCCGACAGGCATCCTTGGTGAATCAAGGGTTCCCCTCTGATGAAATGTGAATGCCGCCCTCTTCTTCTATCGCTGCCACCCACCACCTTCACCACTCTTCTCCGACCCTCCACAACTTATTTTTTTTTCAACCGTTGCCCTAAAAATCCCCAAGCTCCTCCTCACTTCCGAAAAGACGGTCTGGTCTGGTGACTCACGAAGCCCATCTTTCAGTTTCCAGTTTCCGCGGTTTCCTTTGAACTCTCTCAAATACTCGTCGAGCCGCTAGGTAATCACCAACTTGTACGGTCCAAACCTATCTCCGGATTCGACGCACTCACCCTTGCGTCTCGACCTATCTCCGGATTTCCTCCCTGACCTATATATAGAGAAGCCGAATACCATCCATGGATTGTTGGAGAAGGACGCAAAACACAATTAGAAGCAACACCATCTTCAAAGAAACGCCACCGCGCTACAAGCACAGAAGGTCCTAGACCCCGATTCTCACAAATCAGGCAACCCACACATATACAGGTCTTCTCCCACGAGAAGTTCCGCTCACAGCAACTCTCTCTCTCTCTACACTCTACACACCACTCTTACACACACATTCCACCTTACACCGTCGCCACTATGCACGACCTCAGACTCAAGGTTCTTCGCGAGAGCGGCAAGACCGTCTCCAAGAAGGCCAAATCACGCCCCGAGTCCGCTCGCGCCTCCATGAGAAACTCGCCCAACGTCTCTCCTGGCCACTCTCAGATCAACTCCCCAGCACATTCTCGCGCTGGTAGTCGCTACGCCTCAGAAGACGAAGGCAGCGACTCCGAGTACGATGATGGCATGACCATGAGCACCCTGTCAAATCACTCGGATACCGCTTTGGACGAGGCAACAGAACCCAACTGGGCGCAATTACTACAGGATCGCATCGTCGAGCTGCAAGATCGCAAGCGGACAAATACCCAGAGACGCGAGGCGACCCTGATGTCCTACCTGCACCTTGTCAAACACCACTACGGCGGCCGTCAAGTCAGCAACTCCTTACAAGACATCGTCACAGCGTTGATGAAGAACACCAGGTCCGGAGGTAGCTCCCTCGAGCGCCTCATGTCCCTGAAGTCTCTCTCAGCCACCCTGCTCACCACGCCATCAGACTCCCTGTTCGACGACATCTACCCGCAACTCGAGAAGACCCTTGAAGACGACGACGACAACGACGTCAAGGCGGCCACGATCTGGGCAATGGCAGTCACAACGATGTACGGCGGTGGTGGCGAAGAGTCAGCAAGCGAGCTGCTCGAATACCTAGTCACCATCGTGGAAAGCGACGGTGAATCAGTCGGCGCAGCAGACAGTGGCGACGTCGTCACCTCCGCCCTCGAGGCCTGGGCCTTCGTTGCCAGCCAAGTAGACGACATCACCGAGAACGTCTACTCCGCCATCGAAGCCTTCGTGGAGCAACTCGACAGCACCGACGTGGAGGTCCAAGCGAGCGCGGGCTTCAACATCGCCTTCATCTTCGAGGCGGCGCGCGACCACGAGGAGGAGACGGGCGAGCCGATGAACCTCCAGTACGACCCCAAGAAGCTCATCGCTCTCATGGCCGAGGCCTCCAAGCCCTCCGTCAAGCAGACGGCGCGCAGGGACAGACGACACCTGCGCAAGCAGTTCACCAGCATCGTCTCGTCCTTGGAGCACGGAAAGGGACCGGGCTACTCGAGCGCAAGCCGTCCAGCCTTTAACCCGCACACGGGCGGCACCAAGGCCGATCCCGGCGCGGGCCGCAGGGGCGACGACGACGACGGCGAGAACCGCGCATTCGGGTACCGCGAGAAGCTTCGTCTAGGTTCTACAGTTGTACTCATCGACTCGTGGTCTCTCATGGCGCGTGTCGAGGCAACGAAAACCATCCTGGGCGGCGGACTGCCTACGCACTTCAACGACAACCCTACTGTGGCGGAGCTGCTGGATAACGCTGAGACGGAGGAGGCCGCGGCACAGCTGTACGCAGCGCGTCCCAACAAGAGTGCGAAGCACATGAGGAGGTAGAAGGCGATCGTTTGCTTCTTAGCAGCGACTGGGGAAGTGTGGGAGGAATGGGCAGAATATGGCGTATGCCTTGGGAGCAGCATTTATTGGTGGAGAGAATTGCATTGGCATGCTTTCTTTCCTATGTACAGATTCACGATAGAGCATTACGGTCCAACAAAAAAAAAGGGGATACGAAACGCATAGTATGAGGCATAACCCTTACGTATTGCGAAATGAGGCAGAAGATACCACAGAGCGGAGGATCCTCGTTGCTAAATACACTTAGCCTACATCATTGGGAATTGACATTGGTTGATAAACTGAGGCTTCACTTTGACTGAACTTGTGATGTGTTAATGTTTTCTTTGATTTCTCTTCACACCATTTAGTTTTGATTTTCAATGGAAGACTTACGCCGCCGGCGGTACACAACGACTGCACCTATCCATCAGGGGGCGGCGTTCACATGTCGCACAGCAGGTTGGATATACGGTTGCCATTTGATGTAGCGTTGGTGGTCAGTCGGGTACGAGCTGGAAGGAGGGGGGAAAGAGAACGGGAGGGCGGCAGAAAGAGTGTCCTGGCCGATACCCAATGAAGAAGCTATGGAGGGATGCCGATGTATGTGTCCTGGAGGCAACATGTTCGGGTGGCATTCGTTTCAGGGAGAACGGTTGAGCGGCGACAAACGGAAGGTGATGCTGCCCATTTTGGGGGCCACGAAAGTGAACCGAGGCCAACTGACAGACGGCGCTGATGAAATCCCGCTCAAGTTGACTTGCAGGACAATTGCAGAGACGGGGCAGCGATGCAGTCCAATGGCTCGCAGTAAGTAGGTCGTTGAAACTGTGAAAGCCCCTAGACTCTGGATATGCAGCGTGCTCCTATGGCTTCGAATTCGAACCCAACTTGATGCACTCACATCAACCTTTCTTGACCACTCAACATACGTTTACAAACGGGCGTGGTCGGGTCGGGGGAGGGAAGCGGGATGACCGGCATGAGCCGCCGACCCCAGACGGAGGAGCAGTGGAAAGTCCATCGAGTCTGGGCCACCCCGTCGAGGTGCGCCTTCGCCACCGCCGGTTGGAGTACGTGGACAAATCGGACTATTCCGTTTGTTTTCGAGGCCTCGTGGGGTCGAACGAAGCAGACGAGAGCTGAGGTGCGCGGGTTTTTGGAGTACCGTTTCGCTTGGTTGCAGTGGCGATTTACCCGTATTGTGTTTCAACCTTTTTTTTTTTCTTTCCCCTCTACTCGACTTACCTAAACTGCGCACTCGATTCTCTATGAAGGACTGAGACAGTGACCACTAACGGGAGGCGGTGATGGGAGGGATGGGAATCGGCACATCGGATAGCTGAAATATCGTATCCCCTGTTTGTAGCAGCGTCCGTGTGTTTCTGGGGGCCGCGGCTTGTTCTTGTGAGATGACGTACGAACGTCATTCGATGTTGGAAGTGTGGAAGAGCTCGAGCTCGGACTCAAGTGAAAGGTCTTGGGGGCAGCAGGGAAGTCATACTCGTTGCCCGGTTCACAAGGCGGCGCCCGTCTGCAACAGACGGACGAAAATGTTTCAGACGTTTAATCTCGAGGTTCAATCATGATCTTCCGAATAAGTCTTGATCAATACCTCGTCACAAAGAAGCCAGCGTGCCGCCAGGTCGAAAAAAAAAGTGTCAAAAGTGTCACTCAGACTTCCCGTCAGTGGTGGCTCTGTCCCGGCAAGGTTCCCCGTGCCAATTTTATTTTCGGTTTTCACCTCGAGACTATTTTCTCGTGGCGCCGACGATGAGACCCTTGTCTAGTGGATGATCGGTATCCTCCCGTCGCCCAGCCAAAAAAGAGGTTGAACCCACTTGGCTTTGATTTAGCACTTCAAGACGGGAAACATCACTCTTGGAAACAGGCGCCCGAGCCAGCCCACGCAAGTCCCACCTCTGGTGTGCTGTGGGGGCCCGGTTTCCAGGGGATCCCGTTTGAGCACAGGTGGATAGAGGTGACAGAAGTGGGAAAAGCCCGTCCCGATGGCGTCTGGCGTCTATTTGCAAATTGCATTTGTGAGGTGATCAGAGAGAGGGGAGGTTGGGAGAGGGAAGAAATGCTTGTCAAACCTTGTTCTCGTACGAAAGGGATAATAGAGAAAAGACGGAAAGTTGGTCTCTTTGTGGCAAAGGAAGATTGTAAGACTATCTATCTATATTGGTCGAGGGGCTGGGAGTGACCGGGGTGGGTGAGAGTGTTTCGGAGCGATAGACAAGGTTATGGCAAAGGCATCGAGATATCGAAGTGACCCCGGCCGGTATGATGGATATCTGAACACAGTGAACAGTATCCTCATATCGAGACACCCATAGGAATGGAATGGGTAGGTAGTCGACAAAGACAATGGCCAAAGGGGAACCGTTTTGGCCACGCAGGGTCAAGGCAAGGACAGGTTCCAACGCTGAGCAAACGGCTGCGCGGGACGACATAACGGCGGTGAGGAATCGGACCTCTGACAATGCTGCGTTTGACCGAGTTCAAACAGCTAGAAGAGCAGACGTGACATGGGGGCCGAGATGTGTGGTGCATTCTATCCCGCTGAGTGGTTCCAGCCCCGTTGCAACAGAAGGCCTGCACATGAGCCACGAGGGCACTGTAGTCTGGACAGACAACACCAGGTATTCCTACGTTAACCACTCAGTTGTCTTCACCTGCGAGTACTGTGAGAGGAGGGATGTGAAGATGTAAGGCACATTTGGTTACCTCGACAGCTCGACCACATTCGAAGTTGAGAAGCGTGCAGGACGCTCTGCAGGCCTGCAGGGACCCGATTTCCCACACGCCCCAGGCCTGCGGCGGCAATTGGCCCGTCGCCTCATGCTTCTGGTGCCTCTTAAGCTCCTTTCGGGAAGCGAGCGAGGGACAACTCATCAACCATCTCCACCCTGTCACGGCATCACACTTGGTGGACGGACCAATCTCTTTCTCAATCTGATGCTTTTCTCGATTCTCACGTCAACTTTTGTGGCCATTAACATTTGAGACGAGGAGGGGAGGGACTGGACAGAAGATTGCCAGTGTGTCCGGTTGCTTGCTGCGGCCCAAGTAAGTGTTGAAAGGTACTCCGTAAGGTAAGGTAGGTACGAATACACCTACTATGTAGATGGTTGTCACGGTGGTGTTGGCTGTTGCCATCCCTCGTCCCAGCCCAAAGACCCAAAACCCGGCCCAGCCCAGCCGCTCCCGCGATCACGTTGCCGTCATCCTCGGCGCTACGTGTGTACATACCTTGACCGTAGGTGATTGCAGTGGCCCGCTTGTACCGAGTAAACAAAATAGGTGCAGCACAGGTCGCAGAGGGTCAGCTTGGACGGGAAGGATATCCCAGGCAGAGCCCGACGAAGCGTTCCCCCCTCTCGACCGCACTTCCCTGTCCGTTTGGGCTGGCCTGTGTGCCTGTGTGCCTGTTGTGTGCTTCTCTCTGTGCGTGCTGATTCCAGGTTGTCTGTCAGTCTTGCGGCCTGCCTGCATCATCCAAGATTGTCAGGTCGCCTGTCCATCGCCTGTCGCCTCTATCTGCTTACCCCCCTACCCCCCGGCTTGCCTCTTTCCAAGATACCTCATGAAGTACCTATGGATGGATACCTTATCTGCTCTTTACTGTACCTTTGCTCAGCTACTATCGTTCCCGCCCGTTTGCTATATTCGACATCGCTTCCAATATCCTTCTCTTCGCTGCACCCGATATCACTCGCTAGAGTCACCACTTGTCCCTTGCCTCGAACCAACACATACCTTTGTTTCGTTCCGTTTCGCCGATACCTGTTTCTCCTCCGCGACGACAAAAGAGTTGCCCAAAGACAAGAAAAAGTCAACTACGGCGCTACACGGATAGAAATTAAGGCCAGAGACAGGCCGGTAGACCCCTGGAAGCTTACCTGCCTCTCTTGTTCAGCTACCAAGAAAGATCCGCAAACTGGGGCAAAAACATCGCCGGGGAAAAAACAACACCCAAGCAACGGCCTGACCCCCCAGCCACCCCAGTTTGCGAACCTCACACCTTCGCCTCACCCCTCCACTCTCACCACTTGGCCTTCCCTCCTTTGCGCCATCCAATTCTGAGCTCCTTCTTCTCACTCAGCCGTCCCTCGACGTTAATCCGCAATTTCAAACTAACATCGTTGCTTTTTTATTTTCGGGTCCTATTTGCGCACTGCGTTGTTTGTGGCATAAGCGGCCACAGGTCTCTCTGTGTCTTTTTCCTTCCTTCTTTGGGGGATATTCCGTTCGCTGCCTTTCGCAGACATCGCCGAACCGCAACGACTTTCTCTCTCTCTCTCTATCCCAGTGTCTCGCTCGCAGCCAGGTGTGAAAGCTCCTTCAGATACAGCTTGTTCGCCCAGCCCGCCCAGTTTTTTTTTTACACCCTCCCCGCAGCAACGAAGTGCTCCTCATGTCTTGACGGCGACTGCACCCACAACAAATCCTTGCCCACCTTGGACGACAGCCGGCAAATCCACCCACCCTCTCCTCTCCTCACCTCTTCTCTTCTCCTTCTTTCCTCGATCGAGGGAAAGGACGAGATCCAAAATAGAGGTGTGAGCCGCTGATCGAGGCACTCATCATCCGCGCCCGCGCATCAACAGCCCCTCCGTCGCCGAGGCCTTCGAGCATCGCACCACAATGGGTGTTGACTCGAATAAGCCTCCTCCACTCCCTGCCCCGACCGAAACCGACTCCGTCACCCCCACCGAGCTGGCGACCGATGTGTCCAGGCCAAACGACGAAGCTTCCCACTACTCTCTGCCCGACGACGGCACACCTGTCACCATCAAAACCCGCGGCCATAGGGCCAATCGTTCTCAGACGTCCCTCCTCATTGAGTATTTCGAGGGTGGCAAGCCTGGCCCCGAGGGAACAGTCGAACGCAAACCCAGCGTCCGCGTGCGCCTGACCCCGTCCAAGAAGCACCGCGGTGACCATATCCAAATCACCGAGACCAAGGGCAACACCCGCAAGGCCTCGTTGACCCGCCGTGTGCCTCTGCCGTCCACCACAGCAACCTCCTCGCACCTCGACGTTGAAGCTCTCGAGGGCGAGGACGCCGACAGCATGCGGTCCTACGCCTCCGCTACGGAGGAGTCTAACGTCTCGAGAAACCCAATCGACATTGAAATTGACCACCGCGGCGGACGGCGTCGTCGGCCGGCGAGTCCATTGATTCCCGATGCTGATGCTCAGTCTTCATATCTGGCTCCCAACATGTCCGACATCTCGGCAATCCCCCAAGACAGCTTTCTCGATGGCTCTGGCTCAACAGTATTAACAAAGAACTCCGAAAGACGCAGTAAGAGCACGTCGCGGGGCAATGAGCTGGCGGCCGGCGTCACAGGCGCATTGGCTGGCGCCGCGATAGCTGATCATGCAAAGAGCAGTAGGAGCAAAAGACACAGCGGCGAAAGAAAGGTGTCGGGGGAAAGATCCTCAAGAGACAAAGATCGCAAGCACCGTTCGAGCAAGAGTCGGACAAGTAGTGTTAGCGAGAAGCAATCGGAAGGAACGCGATCACCCCGACGACGTTCCAGTCGGGGCCATGTTGACTCTGTTTTATCTGGGGCAGATTCCAGTCTTTTATCATCCAGCATTTCTCCCAGCCACCGTTCCTACGACCAAAGCTCGGTCCGCTCCGGAGCTTCCAAATCGTCCATCAATAATCCGAAACTACTCGAAACGGTAGAGGATGCCATTCGTCGACTTATTCTGCCAGAATTGAGCGCATTGAAGAGAGAGCAGAGCAAGCGCGAAAGCCGCCGCAGCTCCATCACATCAACAGGAACAGGGACGTCTCTATCTCGCGAGGAACTGGGGGTAGACCGACGCAAATCCGCCGATAAGCGCAGCGAAGCCGGTCGCGACAGCCGGCATCGAGAACGCAGAGACCGGGAAGCTCGCCACGACTATGTTGACTCTCCCCGAAGCGTTGCAGGCGAATCGGTGGAAGAATCATCCATTATCTCCATTGACGATACACCACGGCGGAGCGATGGCGCGCTTAAGGCCGCTGTTGGAGGTGCAGCAGCAGCTGGGCTTGCCGCTGCCGCAATGAACGCAGCATCGCCATCATCGGAGGATAGAAGGCAGCGGAGGCGCCGGCGTGCTGATGGTTCAGCTCGAAGCAGAAGTGTAGGTCGCGAGAAGTACGACGAAGAGTTCCACGAGGAAGAGGTTCCCGCGCCGCCAATGCCGTTAATGAGCGAGATCAATCCCTCCGAAATGACGCGAACCTCAATTCTTTCGGCTCATACCGATCGTCCCCATTCCGCCATGGAGGAGAGAGCCTCTGTCCAGGAGGTTGCCCGGGGCAACGCCTCCCTTGGCTCCTCGCCAACGCCAACGCAAGCAGCACCAATGACCAATTTGCAACAGACTCTAGGCACGAAGCACGCCAATATCTCTCACGGGGATTTGAGAGAACTGTCTCGGTCACGAACCGGAGATTTCTTGGAGCAAAGCGAGGTTTCGGAGTTCAGCCAAAGTCCTTCGTCACAAATCCGCGATGAATACGACGACTACGACGATCGAAGCCGTGTCACGGAGAGCGAAGGCGACTATGTGGACTCTGGCGATTACGACTACTACAACACGCAGGATGTGCCGCCTCCGTTGAAATATGTCCCTTACCAGCCAGAGAGACGTGGGTTGAGCCCAATTTACAGTGTGTCCGGCTACACGGAGGCTGGTAGCGAAACGGCTGCCCAGCGTGACTCGAGGATGTCGCATGGGACCGCTTCGCCAACCAAGTCTCAAGCGTCCCACACTGATCTGAGAGCCCTTTCTCCGGCGTCAGTACCAAGTAATGTGATGAGTCGGGGCTTCGATGAGCAGTCTGTGGATGATCGTAGCGTCCGAAGTGGACAAGACTACCGCAACAGCCAGTACACGGAGGGCAGCGAGATCGCAACTTCTACCGGACAGGCTGTGCGTGGTATTGCTGCGAATCCCAACATTATTCATGTTCCAAACGGTGTCGAGTCCAACGTAGCTTCACTCGTGGACGGCTCCATGCTTGAGTCTCAACTTACTACGGGCTCTGGATACGACTACAGGGACTCCCAAGTATCGTACGGTAACGAGTCCAATGTTTCCTATGGACCGGAATCCTACGTGTCATACGCCAAAGACTCCAATGTCTCCTACGATGACCAGTCCAACATTCAGCCCCGTTCGCGCGACGTCAGCCCAGAAAAGAGATCTGTCGCTGACCAGCGGGAGTTCTTCGAGCAACGTGAGCGCGAGAGCAGTCGCACGCCTACTTCGAGCCGCCAGAGCCACCGATCAAGAGAGTTTGCTGGAGAGTACGACCTGGACGAGTATGGTAGAAAGGTTGCTCCTGCTAGGTACAGAAACTCCCCTTCTACGTCTACACGGCACTCGCCTACTGCCTCCGAAAAGGCAATTGCCGCTGGTGCGGTTGGCGCAGCAGCTGCTGCTCTCAAGGCCGCCAAAGACAAGACGAAGCAACCGACAGTGGAGGAGGTCGACGAGGAACATGCTGAAGAATGGGTTCCCGAGGGAGTCACAAGAAACAAGTCCTTCAAACAGCGAGCGATGGAAGGCCGGGAGCCAGCAAACACCCCGGCACATAGCGTCGACCGTCTCGACCTCGAGGACAAGCCCAAGATGGGTGCTAGTGCCATGCCGACATTTGACGACCCGATGCCTGAGGTCGGATATGTAGACGACGATGCGCTGACCAATCCGTCATTGGTCCGCGAGCCGCTCGGCGGCAGCGACCACAACGATGGGGACCACTGGCCCGGCGATATCACCCCTCGTCAAGGCACGCCTCGCCAGAGCGACTATGACCAGTCTTACGAGGAGTACAACTCGGAGAAGCACAGCCCGCGCGGCCACGGTGGTTATGGGATGGCCGCTGCCGGTGCCGCCATGGGAGCCGCCGCCGGCGCAACCATGGCTCACCACCGACAAGCCAGTGGAGAGCATGAGGACGAGTGGCGACGCACATCGGCTGAGCGAAAGCGCGATACTGTCATTACGAATCCCTATGATGGCGCGAGCCCCGTCGATCATCCCGACCTGCTCGGTGGCAGAGGATTCGAAGATTATGCTGCTGGGTATCACGCCAACAGTCCGGGTGGGCACAAGAACCTGGATGAGGGTTACATTTCTCAAGGTCCCATCCACTCGCCCAATATGCAGCCCACCAGCAAGGCCATGATGCCCTTTGGCGATATGAATGCAGAAGACCCCTTCTTCGCACCTCAGCACTCACGACACCTGAGCGGTCTTTCCCAGGGCATGAACTCGCCGCTGTACGATGCCGCCACTGGCAACGGTATCGACAGGATCGAATCCAAGGACATTATTGCCTTGATGCAACATGTGAGTATCCCGTTATTGTGGACATGAAAAGAAAATGGCTAACAAGTTCTCAGCTCATGGTCCGCGATGCTCAACGGAGCGCTCGTGACACGGAGATTCTCGTCACGCTGGTCCGCTCTGCGGCTGAAATGCGCAACTCTTTTGATGACCTTAAGAAACTTCTTGCCAACACCGAGGACGTCATCATCAAGGAGGTCCAGGAGAACACTGACGAGACGGTCAAGAACGCCGTCGCCGGCTCCCGTGCTTACCCTGGCAGCCTTCCTCGTTCTGTCAAGGGCTACAGCGCTGCATCTCAGAACAGCACTCTCGATGAGACCGCCAAGAAGAGCAACTTCTTCCGCAAGGCGCTCAAGGGCCTCAGCAACAAGGGCGCCAACGATCTCAGCAGGATCGAGGACATGCTCATGCAGCTACTGGGCGAGGTCGACACACTCAAAGCACAGACTATGAGACCCGGCATGGTTAGCGGCCGGCCATCTTACGAGAACCTCACCCCGGAGATGCAGTACGAGCAGGATCGCGGCTACGAGCCCGAAGGCCAGGCTGGCACCTCTACCACTAGCCAGGGCAGCCACTCTGGGATGTCATCCTTTGCCCAATCTCGCGGGCCTTCCAAGATGGCCTACGAACCAAACCGCATCAGCACCGTTCACGAAGACAATGAGGAGGAGTACATCTCCCAGAACAACTACCATGAGCCTCAAGGTATGCTTACA